AAGCAATTAAGTTGGGGGGAGGGGGGTAGTCAGACACCCAGGTTTTGAAGTAAAGCTAAAAGATATTATGGGTTTGGGGGTTTTGTTGTTTGGTGGTGGTGGTGGTGGTGTTTGTTTGAGACAGGGTTTCTCTGTGTAACAAACAACACTGTCTGTCCTGGGACTCACTTTGTAGACCAGGCTGTTCTCAAACTCATAGAGATCCACCTGCCTCTGCCTCCCAAGTGCTGGGATTAAAGGCGTGAGCCACCACTGCCTGGCATATTTCGTTTTATAAGTGAGACTGTGATTTTCAAGTACATATTCTTAGGTCAGCAAGCTAATTCAGCAGGCAAGGGCATTTGCTGCCAAGCCTGGCATGGTGAGAGAACAGACTCCCTCAAGGTGTCCTCCAGCCATGAGCATCCAGTCATGAGCAATGACATGCACATGAACACACAGACACACACACACACACCCCACACAACAAAACCCAAGTGATTTAAGTAGATAACGGAATGAATAAAGCACACGTTCCCTTGTGTGTCAGACTACATACGCTACCCTTTGCCTTGGCCAACTCTAGTCACGGCAGCCATGGGCAGGGCCGGGTCCTCAGCGCAGGGAGCCTTAAGATACAGATGACTAACTCTGGCTCAGCTCTGTTTCCAAGCCACTCTGGAAACACTGCCCTCCACTTCCCCACAGAAGACCCTAAACTGCTCTTTAGTCTAGGACTACTTCACTTCCATGGTCAGGGGCTTATGGGTTTCCTTCTGCATTTCATGAATGCAGCTAGGGATTCTGATTCTTCCGATCAGAGAGCAACTGCCAGACAATCAGAAAGTCCTCACAGAAGTTCTTTCCTAAGACAATGGAAATTAATCCCACATACAAATCTTCCTTAAATCTAACAGGTGGAATCACCTTGAGAAAGAGCACAGTGAAGAAAAGGATGAAGTATGGTGTTTCAGGTCAGTTCCCTGGCCGACCATCTAAGAAGAGCATACCTGGACCTCATGGCATTCTCTTTGCCGGGGAGGTGAGGACGGGCGAGAGGACTCTACTTCCATGTGCATCCTACACGTGGGAGAAGGCTTTCCTAGCGCTCCAGCACCCGATCCTCCAAAAGCTGTTTTCTTATATCTTTATCTGCCACAGACACAAACGTTGTGGAACAATCTCCCACCCTGGTGTTCATAATGCTTTATTTACATCATCAAAAACGAATCGCCAGAAACCACAAAAGCCCCTCGGACACACAGTATGAACGGATGCTACCCAAGGCACCTGAGCAGAAGCTGCTGCTTCTCTCTTGGTTGGAAGAGGAGCGAGGTGACAGGAGTCCCACGGGATGATGCTGACATCCCACGTTGAGATGCTAACAACTCAGGACAGCGCCTACAAACCAGCCCACAGCGCCGTGACCAGTGTGGCCATCATGCTGACTCTGTGGAGAAGTCAGACCCGGTTCACAAGCAGTCGAATGCAGGCAGTCACATGTTTCCAGGTTAGCACTTCAGCAGGGAACTTTCTCTTTGGGACTCTGGGAACTCCAAGCATCCCTTTCCGCAACCTCCTCCCTGTGAGCATCTACCACGGAGAGGACGGCCAGGCAGAGGGATGCTGTGGGATGAACTCCCTCTGGTCCTGTCCCCATTCCAGCAGTTGGCTTGAGCCTTGGATGGCTGTGGGCCTCCGGGAACAAGCAGCAGCCGTGAGCTTGCATCGCTCAGAGAGCCCAGCCTCAGCTTCTCTGACTCTCCCTGCAGGTTCCTACGATCTGAATGCTGCTCCCCTCAGTCACTTTCGCTCTTCGGCCTCTCTCTCAGGATCCCACGTGATTCTCCACGTTCAAATGCCCTGGCGAAGGCCTAGTGTGTGCACTGTGGGACCTTAACCCAGGCTGAGAAGTGAGGCGTTTGTTTTGTCCCACACATATGTGATAACAGGATGCTCACACAGAACAAGCACTGTCTCTAGGGCCACTGTAGGGTGATTTTTTTTTTCTTCTTCTGAGGCAGGGTCTCACTATGTAGCTCTGGCTGTCCTGGAACTCACTATGTAGCTCTGGCTGTCCTGGAACTCACTATGTAGCTCTGGCTGTCCTGGAACTCACTATGTAGACCAGGCTGATCTCAAACTCACAGAGCTCTGCCTCCCCAGTGCTGGGAAGTGCTCAGCAGGTGTGAGTCTTTTTAATGTGCAAAGAAAATGAGTGGGGTGGCTGCTGTAATCATCTCTGGTCAGAAATGAGGAAAATGAGTCTCAGATATTTTTAAAGTGTGTTCAGGATTGGCAAGATGACTCAGTGGGTAAAGGCACGTGCTGCCAAGCTGACAACCTGAGTCAAGTCCCTGGGTCTACGTGGTAGAAGGGGAAAACAGGCTCCAACTGCCGCATGCATGCCATGCTGTGTGTGTGTGTGTGTGTACATGCACACGTGCATCTGTGCGCACACATATGTATGCACATATGTATGTAAAACCCTGTTCAGAAATAAAGTCATTGTGCTAGGCTACAATTTAAGTCTCCCTACAAGCTGCCATGCTTCCTATAGGCTGTTCCCCTGGGCTTGCACACTGCTCACAGCTCACTACAGGCATGTGCACAGGTCATGTTCTAGCAATCTCCTTCCTTTTATCAGGCCACTGGTTGTCTAAAAACCAGCGTTGTTTATGCTGTGAAACACCTCATACCACAGGCTTGATTACCACTGGGTCTTATACTCCATTATCCACAGTTCTTGATTACCACTGGATCTTATACTCCATTATCCACAGTTCCTGCAAACTTTGATGAAAACAGATGTATGTAGTCAAATGTCTTTTTCAGGCAGGAATATTTTGTCTGTGCAACGCATTTCCTTCATCAAATCATGAGTCACATAATGTCTGGCTGTTCCACTCTCTGTGATCCTAAGATTAATCAGTGGACTCCAAGTCTAATCCTCCCATTATAATGGAATCTGGACTGAAAGTGCACAATTATCACTGTCTACAGTAAGGCTTGGCACAAGACGGCTGGCACACCCAGGGTGCACAGACAAAGATGCACAAGTGCCCTTTCCCGGAAGGCAGGAGGTGCTCCCAAGCCTTCAGAGAAAGGAACTGCCTGCCCACCCTACTCTTAACAAGCCTGATCAATCTGGTTTTTAATCATGAACGCTCATACATGCCAGGAATTCCAGAGCTCAGGAAGCTGAGGCAGGAGGACTATGTAAGTCTGAAGTCAGTCAAGGTTACACAGCAAGACCACCCTTACCAAAGGGGGTGGGAAATATTTGTGTTAATCAATGTCAAAAAAAGTTTCAGAGGGAATCAAAGCTGAAAAGATTCTAAATTCTAGTTCTTCCACATTCTCTCTTTAATTTCCTTTGCCCCTTTAAAAAGAGACCAGAAGCGGTGGCCCAGGCTATAATCCCAGGACTCAGAAGGCTGAAGGTCTAAGTCTAAAGCCAGCCTGAACTACACAGCAAGACCTTGCCAAAGGAGGGCAGAGATGGAGGGATGGAAGCAAGGGTGGGGGGAGGGGAGAGAAAATTAATTATGAAGAAAAACTTAGGGCAAATAAAAGATTGCCTTATTAATTAGATCTTACTCAGAACAAGGGGAAAATACAAGTAAGAAAAGCATCACGACAAGCCATACGATCTCAACGAAACTGTGCCGCTAGCCGAGCAGATAGGACACTTGCCCATTAAGCGTTCACTTGCCCATTTTTGGTTGCTGTATTTGACTCTCTCACTGACAGCCATATCACACTAGATGTGATTCCTGAGCAGATAGCTGATGACACCATATTTAATAAGGCTCATCTTAAAACGGGCAGTTTGAGACCCACCCCTCAATCTAATTAATTTCCTAAACAAATATTTCTCTAAAACATCTCTAAAATCTAAAATCTCTGAAGTCACCATCCAACCCACAAAGTTCTTTTTATTAGGTAACAAAAACATTTAGAATATATTAAAGAACTAGCCATCCTTTCCAAGATCAAACGCAACAGCTGTGTAACAAGACAGCATCGCATGAAATATTCTAAGCACAAACGATTTGATACTAAGCGGGGACCTTGGGGAGTCAAGACTCATAACAACTTCCCTCAGCTCACTGCCAAGGAAACCTGGAAATCATACTTTGCATTTTAATAGGGGCTCTGGTTTAATGACGCAGCAAATTCACTTAGAAACCTAATCTGAAACCACAAAACAAGCCGTTCTTGATATTTACGTTCTAATGATACAGGCGGGGCGCAGTTCCCTTGCAAAGCTTCAAGGCAAGATTAAAAACCTTTCAGGAAGCCAGTAAGACGGCTCAATCCACAAGGGTGATGCGGCAGTCAAGCCTCAAGACCTGAGTTCAATCCCTGGGTTCCCTGGGTGGAAGAGAACCAACTCCCGAACGGTCCTCTGACCTCCACATGTAAGTGTACAGACACACACAGCAAACATAATAATAAGATTTTCTTTTTTAATCTCCAGAGTTCATAGTCTGGAAGAGTTAATCACTTGCTTTGACCTCTTCAACTATCGGTGTCTCCAATTCTCACCATGACACCGTCACCATGACACCGTCATGATGCCGTGGAAACTGCTGACACGGGCCGGCCAACTGCGCTACGTAGTTTCTGTTGACATGCAATCACTGCAGAGAGCCACTAGCTAAGCAAAAAGAAGCAGAACCACAGTTTTCAATCAAGTATTAAGTAGCAGGTATTTTTAAAAACTCTGCCAAGGAAGGAATGTCATATTTTATTTTAATGGGCAGTAACTCAGATTGACAGGACACTGTCCGGATAAAGTTGAGTGAGAAAGGTCATTACCCTCAACTACTGGGCATCTTAGAAAATATTTCAAAGACCAGAGCTTTAAGGGGTTTAGTTCTACAAAGAAAAGTCCATACCACAACCATAGGAGAAGAGAATTAGGTTCTAGAACACCAGAGAGCTGAAGGAAAAACCTTTGGGAAAGCACTGGGCTCCGAACCTGAGATCTTAGCTTAGAATGTAGAAGGTCTTACCTCCCATTGTAAGTGGGGCGGGATATTTCGTATCTGAAGTTTCCGAATCCTGCAGAAGAATTAAAACGTTTTAAGGAACAAAACATACAAAAGCAAAACACACCAGTAGCCAACATGGAAGCTTACGAAATACTTAAAATACGATTTTAATTTAACTATACACCAAAATGTAATGAGGAAATGTGGCCCATGCAGAGGACAAACTAACCCCAAGGTGTGCCCTGAAACACTTGAACTTGGCATTGTTAAATGATTGATACTTCAAAAACCGCAAAAACAGACAAAGTAAATTTGTTCTGATGACTATGTTTAGCATCCGAGCCTCAACTTAAGCCTCCCAGGGCACAAACAGAGCCTTAGTCCAGATGTTTTTGTTCTGAGATCACAGCCAAGGGGCTCACGATAGCTTTCAGGGAACTTGCAACTGGAGGAAACAGGGAACTCACACACTTTCACTACTTCCTGACTATAACATTCAACACATTCTTTCATCATGAGTGTGGTAATAAGCCACAGTACCTGTAACTCTCAAATCAACAAAAATCAGGCATTTTCATGCCACAAAAGGTGTAGTAGGTCTTTTCAATATCATCTGTATTCAGTGCTGTGAAATTTACTATGTTGCCAAAACTTATACATACACACACAAGCATGAATGTGTACACACATGCAAACCATGAGGTCTCATGCAGAGCAGCCTAGAATGACCTTGAACCCGAGGCTCCCGCCTTTACCTTTTGAGCACTGAGCTTACAGCTGTGTGCCATCATAGCTCATTCATGCGGTGCTGGGCATTGGACCCAGGGCCTCAGACATGTGGAAAGCACTGTCAACCGAGATCCATTCCCCAGCCCCCCACGATTAGACTGAAAAGCACATATTATTACACTTTGTTAACTGTACGGGTTTGGTTTTCTTTTCTGGAGACAGGGTCCCCTGCTCTGTATCCCAGGCTGGCCTGGAACTTGCGGCAATCCTCTTGCCTGAGCAGACTTGAACAAGCACACTAGGCTTTGCGAACTGCATTTGGAAATAGTTTCTTTAGCAATCCCATGCATTTCAAGATATCCTAGGGCCCATGAGGATGCTGGAGTAAAGTCTATCAAATTGTGCAAACAGGTAAAGTGTATAAATTATTTGTCAAACATTTTATAAAACGTAACAAAATAAAAAATAAAGACATCCTAGGACTGGGGAGGTGGCTGAGTCGGTAAAGTACTTGTACACAAACATCAAGACTTGACCTCTATCTTCTGCATCCTTTTAAGAAGCTGAGCACAGTGGTGCATGCCTTTAACAGCAGCATTCAGGAGGCAAAGGTGGCTCTGTGAGTTCAAAGCCAAGGCTACATAGTGAGTTCTAGACCAGCCACGGCTACATAGTGAGACCTTGTCTCAAACAAACAAACAAACAAACAAAAAAGATTGAGAAAGATACTTAGCTTTGACCTCACATTCATTCACATGAACACATACACACTAATAATAATGATGATAAAGCCAGCACTTGGGAGGTGAGACAGGAGGATTATTGTGATTGAGGCCAGCCTAGCTTCAATGTAAAACTTGAATCAAAAATAAACAAGTTAGTAAGTTTCAGGCTAAGCAATCCACAACAGAGAAAACCCGAGGAATCCTCACCTTTGTTCAAATATTCCCCACTTGAACCACCTGTGTGGTGTGTGAGGGCTGGAGAGGGGGGCATGACAGACTGTGAGACTGCCCTACAGGCATCGGACACCAATCAGCCTCCAGCTGCTAAAACCAGCATTGCCTGGCACGGTGGTGCACACTAGAATATGCCACAGGGACACTGAAGCAGGAGGATTTTTGAGGTTGGGCCAGACTTGGAGCACAGTGGCATGTGCCTCGGTAAAAACAAACAGTGAGAATAACCTAGCAACTCAGTTTGACAAAAAGAAAGTAATTCAGGGACTGGAGAGATGCCTCTGCATGTAAGATCATACACTGCTCTTCCAGAGGACCCAGCAACTCTATCCAGTGGCTTATAAACCACCTGTAACTCTAACTGCAGCCCAGAGCCTCTATGGGCACCTGTACTCATGTGCATGTACTTACACATAATTAAAAATAATAATAATAAAGTAATTCAATTGTTTAACTTGCAAAAATCAGAACCACAGTGAACTTCCTTTTCCCCATCAAAGAGTCTATGATTTTGAAGTTTCACAGCCTGTAATGTTTGGAATAGCCTCTTGTGAGTTATTTACCTCTTTCCTTTCCCACCGAGCAGTAGAATAAATGTCATAGCTGCTGACTACTCAAAGACACCAAAGGAAACATGAACTCAAATCAGAGACTCCCCACTCAACAGTCTACATGGAGCAGGAGAAGGGAGACGAATTCTGTAACTTTCTTGACACGGTAAAACAGCACATTGTCAGGGAGAAAGTTAAGAAAAAAACATCTGAGCACCATCTAAGTCGAATATACAGAGGAAATGATGCTTTGTTCAAGAGTAACCCCTGTGTCAGGTATGTGAAGAAGGCACATAGTCCCAAGCACTCAGGAGGCTAAAATGGGAAGATCAGGAACCCAAGGTTATCCTGGGCTACAAAGCCAGATTCAGACTCAAAGACCACCACCACCACCTCCACCTCCACCACCACCTCCACCACCTCCACCTCCACCACCACCTCCACCACCTCCACCACCACCACCACCACCACCACCATCACAGCTCACAATCACATTGATATTACTTTTCTATAAAAGGATTAAAAATACACCCAAAGGCTAGAAGATGGATCAGTGAGTAAAGAGCCTGCCTTACACATGGGGACCTAGAGTTCAAATCCCTAGAACCTAAGTAAAGCCAAGCACAGTAGCTCATATTAGAGATCCCAGAAATGTCCTCTGACAAGACAGGAAACTGTCTGTGCTCCAGCTGGCCTGCTTTAGACAGCAGAGAACAGCAGAGATGCTCTGTCTCAAACAAGATGGAAGGCGGGAACAAGGGTCCAAAGTTGTCCTCGACCCCACGTGCAAACACCTGCAGTCACACAAATGAAGAGTTGAGCGAGTGCACGTGTGCACACTAACGAGCGCGGACACACGGACACACACACACACACACACACACACACACACACGTAAGTTTTCTAATATGTTTTGGCTATGCTCTATATTGCTTCACTCACACTGTAAACATTTACCCTGAGTAACTAAGGAGACAATATGCAGATGTGAACCTATTTTACTCAAGCACCTGACAGGGTCGGAAGCACACTGAAGAGACCGAGTCTCCACCTACTCTAGACTCACTGTGGGAGTGGATATCTCCATAAAAATTTCCCAAAAGTCAATGTGTAAACGTGCATTTACTCACATTATAAAACCAAATGTCCAAGAAATTTTTTAGGGTAATCTTCTTTGAGAATCAGCCATGTTCCCAAGGATGTTTAAAAATGCACACAGCTCGCCTGGCGGTGGTGGCGCACGCCTTTAATCCCAGCACTCAGAGGCAGAACCAGGTTGATCTCCGTGAGTTCAAGGCCAGCCTGGTCTACAGAGCGAGATCCAGGACAGGCACCAAAGCTACACAGAGAAACCCTGTCTTGAAAAAACAAACAAACAAAAAGCACACAACACTCATTTACCGATTAAATGTCCCTCTGGAGTAATCATTTCCTAAATGACTGTCCAGTTTCCTAATCAACCAAGGGTGCCAACCATACTCAGGCAGCAGAGAAATACCCTCATAGTCAAGAGAGCACTTGAGAGAGACAACCCAACCTACACTCCGGCGTCTGTCTCCTGGCCATCGCCTAGAATAACATTGTAACACGAATCTTAAATGGTCTTATTAAAAACAAAACAAACAAACAAACAAACAAACAAAACTCAGGAGCCAGGTATTGGGGTGAATTCTGAAAGATCAGAGAAACAGAACAAGCCACAGCTAACCTCACTTTAACTTCTCTACTGATCCTGTTTCCTCAAACTGGAAGCCTCTGAGTCCTCATCCAAATGGATCTCAGCTGAACTGCTGCTAAAAGCTAAAAAGCCTCTAGTTCCTGATTCTCACACCTTATATACCTTTCTGCTTCCTGCCATCTCTTCCTGGGATTAAATGCATGTGTCTTTCCCAAGCAAGGCATGAGATCTCAAGTGCTGGGATTAAAGGTGTGTGTCACCATGCCTGGCTGACTTGGTGTGGACTTGAACTCACAGAGACTCTGCCTCCAGAATGCTAGGATTAAAGATGTGTGCTATCACTGCCTAACCTCTATGTCTATCTAGTGGCTGTTCTGTTCTCTGACCCCCAGATAAGTTTATTAGGGTGCACTATATTTCAACCACATGACATCATATCTAGGTTGATTCTAAACGCTTAGGAGTCAAGTAAATATTGATGTTTCTGCTAAGCGTAGTGATACACACGTGTAATCCAAGTACTCTGGAAGGTCAGGAGTTCAAGGTCAGACTTGCCTACATGTGAAACTGGAAGCCTAGAGCCTGGGGGACACTTGAATACATACGTGCATGTATGTAACAGTTCAGTTCCAATATAAACTAAATACTGTTTCATTTCCTCCAAAATTTCATCATTTCTTAGTTAAGGTTTTTATTGCTATGACGAGACACTATGACCATGGCAACTCTTATAAATAAAACATTTAATTGGGGGCTCACTTAGTTTCAGAGGCTCACTCCATTATCATCATGGTGGGGAGCATGGAGGCATGCAGGCAGACATGGTGCTATAGCTGTGAGTGTTACGTCCTAACCAAAAGGCAGCAGGAAGTCAACTGACAGTCACACTGAGGGAAGCTTGAGCCAGAGAGACCTAAAGCCCGCCCCCACCCTGACAACTTCCTCCAACAAGGCCACACCTCCTAATAGTGCCACTCCCTTTGGGGGCCATTTTCTTTCAAACTACCACACACATATATCTCACATACATAAGATATGGGATAACAGGGTTATCTTGGGAGTATAGAACAGTGCTTGGCCCCAGCTAAGTACTCAACAGGTTTAAGCTTATATGTTTTTAATAGAAGGGAAAGAAAAGCCAATGTGCCTGTAA